GCTCTGTGAGCTGGGGTCCCGAGGTCCCCCTGTATTGGCAGATGGGGCCTGAGATGTGTGATCCGGTCCTTTATGTCCAGCACATCCGGTCCTCTGTGCTCGCTGTGATGGAGATGGAGTACAGTGGTCCAGACAGACCCCAGGAGAATCTGTGGGGGAGCCTGGCCCGCAGCGTCAGCCCACCACCATCCTGGTTGGACAGTAGCCTCCTGGTTTAACTCAAAACTCCTTTATCAGACATTCCATCCTCAGCACTCTGTGGAGTGCTGTCTACTGTGTCTGTCTCCTTCCCTAGACTGAGCTTGTTGAGGAAGAAATTTATACTTTGTGGTTATTGTTCAATCTCCGTATCCCCAGGACCCAGCCAGGTGCTCCATCGATGTGTGTTGAAGGACTGTGGTGGGTGTTTCAGTGAATGAATGACGGGTACTACCTGGGAGCCCAGAGAGGAATGATGACCTCTGCTGGGGAAGACGTCACCTGGAACAGGTGTCACCTGGAGGTAGCATTTGAGCCTGGCCTTGGTGGATAGGAGGGATTTAGCTAGCGCGGGGGGTGGAGGGTGGGGGGAGACGAGTAGTTGGATGGGCATTCCAGGCTCAGGGCACTGAGAGGCCTCTGAACGGGCTGTGGCACCTGCTTGCCCTGGGCTCGGTTTGGGTCGCCCCACAGGTGCTGCTGCTCCCTCCTGAGAGCTCACCAGTGCTCCCCAAATAGGACCACTACCACCCCAGTGTCACCCCTGGCCACATCCAGTGTGGTAAGTGCTTCACAGGCAGCCTGAGAAGAGTGGGAAAAGAGGGGTCACCTTCTGTCCTGGACACTGACCTTGGCCCTCAGGGCTTATGTTTAGGGCCAACCATTTGGAGTCAAAACGCTTGGGCTTCGGTTTTGTGGTTCTCTCCCAGGGCAGGTACCATTTATTGTGTGCCTACTGTGTGCCAGCCACTACGGTGGGTCATTTGTGTGCACAGTATCATCAAATATTTCCAACAACCTAGGGAGGGAGGTGCTATTAGCCCATTTGATAGCTGAGGAGGTTTCTAGGAGGTGGCAGGATTGTTGAGGTTCCTGGTCGGGGAGGGGGGCTCTTGCTATCTGGGTGATGTGTGAGTGGGATGGTCTCTCTGGCTAAGCAGACGTGAGCACTCCAGTTTCCTTCCCAGGCTGGTATGAGTCCCGGGAGCAAGTGCCAGAAGCAGATCTGCAAGGTGACCAGAGCTGTCCTTGTGTCTGCAGCAGCATCTGGGCACATGCACTGGCTGGAAGCTCATTTTCAGGAGCAAGACATGGAGGATGTTCACACCCCCTTGGATATTAGGGCACTGAGTTGTCTCCCCTGGTCCCCTGAGGATGCCGCCTAGCACGGCAGTCTAATGGGGTGCCCATCCCTTCATCCAGCACAAACCCAGACCAGGGAGACATCCATGACTGGGAGGCCAAAGGGTGTCCAGCGCTTGTCCACACCGCCCCACCACAAAAGTCAAAATGCCATGACCCCTATATTGCCTGCTCAGCTCCTCAGTTCCTGTTCCCGGGAGTGTCTGTGAAGTCTTTGAGGGCAGGGACTACTCATTTGTGCATTCAATCACTCAGTCACTCAACAAACACAGGTTGAGCACCTGCTATGTGGCAAGCATGCTGTTGGGCACTGGGAGCCTGCTGTATCAACCATGGTTTGGTCGGAGCAGCAGAACTACTAGGGGATGCCTATGTATAAAATAAGGGATTTTTTTTTTTTACGGAGATTTTACTTTCCAGGATTGTGGGAGCCAGTAAAGCAGTCTGTGTGAAGCGATTTCTTTCTTTCTTTCTTTTTTAAAAATGTATTTTTACTAGAGGCCCAGTGCACGAAATTTGTGCATGGGTAGGGTCCCTAGCAGCTGCCGGCTGCCAGCCAGGGCCTCCCTTCCCCCGACTGCCAGTTGCCAGCCGGGGACTTCCTTCATTCCTCACCGCCCCCTGATGGTCAGCACACATCATAGTGAGCGGTCAAACTCCCAGTTGGTTGAACTCCCCAGGGGACAATTTGCATATTAGCCTTTTATTATATAGGATTGATTTCAGAGAGGAAGGGAGAGGGAGAGAGAGAGAGAGAGACAGAGAGAGAGAGAGAGAGAGAGAGAAACATCAATGATGAGAGAGCATGCCCCACACTGGGGATTGAGCCTGCAACCCAGGCATGTGTCCTGACTGGGAATCAAACAGTGACCTCCTGGTTCATAGGTCGATGCTCAACCACTGAGCCATGCCAGACAGGCGAGGCTATTTCTTTTTGTGCTGGCACTGCTGCCTCAGGTCTTACAGCCTAAGTGGCAGGTCAAACTGAACTGTGGAATCCCTAAGGGCAACCTGGGACCCCTCAGCCTCTCACCACATCCAAGTCTCCAACAAGAGAAGCTAAGGAGGCCATCTGGCAGGATCAGTTTCAAACACCAGTCAACAACCCGTATTTCTAGGGCAACCTGCTGTTGGATGTCTATGTGTCTGTGTTGTCTGCCTACTTTTATTTATTTATTTACTTACTTATTTATTTATTTATTTATTTTTATTTTATTTTTAAGATCTGGGTTAGAGGACAGTTTTCCAAACTGTCTGTCTCGCATCTGGAAATGCATTTGTAGTTTTTAATAACCCAGACTTTTTAAAATATATTTATTTTATTGATTTTTTACAGAGAGAAAGGGAGAGGGATAGAGAGTTAGAAACATCGATGAGAGAGAAACATCGATCAACTGCCTCCTGCACACCTCCCACTGGGGATGTGCCCGCAACCAAGGTACATGCTCTTGACTGGAATCGAACCTGCGACCCGTATTTCTAAGGCAACCTGCTGTTGGATGTCTATGTGTCTGTGTTGTCTGCCTACTTTTATATAAAGCTCCACCCAGGAGGCATGTATGGTCTGACCTGTACATTTCAGTATCTCCTTCGAAAGGAGGGCTATGCAGTGTTGAGAGAGATGACCTTCCTGCTGGTTCTCTTGCCAGCTAAGAGAGGGTCCAATAATACAGTCAAGGAGACCGCCTCTTCCCGAGTGTCAGCCATCATGTGGCTTTCACCATTTCCGCCCGAGCTGTTCACAGCCCTGAGGGTGGATCCAGGGCAGTGGGCCTGGAGGACCTCAGTGGGGTCCCCTCCACTGAAGATGAAGCCCAGAGCCCCAGCCAGACCAACCAGCCAAGGTCAGACTCCCAGGAGACAGTGAGAGCAGAGAAGGAAGGGAGCTGGTTCCCAGGTGGAATCAGGGGGTGCTCCTGAGAAGCCCCAATGTGGCTGAGTCCCTGAGCCACTCCAGGTTCCGTTTTCTCTCTGTGTGGGCTGGAGTTGAAGACAGTGGTTTAGAACCAGCATCTGATGTCTGTGTGCTGTGTGACTTCGGGAAAGTCTCCTAACCTCTCTGAGCCTCAATGTCCTGGCAGGTAAAAGAAGGTTCTCCACGGACCCTTCCAGCTCAAACCCACGTCAGCTTGCAATGTCGCTTTCATAACCTCACAGCCTCCCTCGTCCACAGATGCCTGCGGGCACGTGTCTGAATCCTGCATCTCTGAGCTGGGATGCCCCAGGGAGAAAGGCCTGTTTACAGCCCCTTCCTGCAGAACTTACCAGCAAGACACCAGCTTGCCTGCCACCTGGCCCTGAGGGAAGGGAGAAGCCTGGGCTGAGTCTCTTCTCCATCATCCAGAATACTGCGATTGAAGAGAAATGGCATTAAGAGTGAAGCTCCCTGCCGAAACCGGTTTGGCTCAGTGGATAGAGCGTCGGCCTGTGGACTGAAAGGTCCCGGGTTCGATTCTGGTCAAGGGCATGTACCTTGGTTGCGGGCACATTCCCAGTGGGAGATGTGCAGGAGGCGGCTGATCGATGTTTTTCTCTCATCAATGTTTCTAACTCTCTATCTCTCTCCCTTCCTCTCTGTAAAAAATCAATAAAATATATTTTAAAAAAAAATTAAAAAAAAAAAAAGAGTGAAGCTCCCCATTTCCCCCACATACCTGTTTAAAAACGGATTCAGGATAGAGCATCAGCCTGCGAACTGAAAGGTCCCAGGTTCGATTCCGGTCAAGGGCACATGCCCGGGTTGTGGGCTCAATCCCCAGTGGGGGACTTGCAGGAGGTAGCCAATCCATGATTCTCTCTCATCATGGATGTTTATATCTTTCTCTCCCTCTCCCTTTCTTCTCTGAAATCAATTTTTTAAAAAAAATTTTTTAAATGGATTCAGGAAATGGCTTTGATCAAAAAAAAATTTTTATGAGCAAATTGGATACTTGAACCCCATTTTCTGTATGATGTTGTCAAATATAGACATGAGACTATATCACACTTTTCTGAAACACCAGTTACATTTTAGGGTAATCAAGAAATCAAATTTTATTTAGAAAATGTTGAACATTGGTGCTTTTTAAATATAGATCCCATTTATCATGTGGCTATTTTGGGGTTTGTCGGTGGAAAGAAGCCAAAGGTCTTTTCTTGGGCGGGACTCTCCTTTGTTTTAAAATATGTCCTTTCTCCCTGCTGTCTCAGTATTCATTTACAAATACTAGATGAGTTGGGGCTCTTAATGGCCTTACTTGGTAAAAATAAATCCCATAGCTGAACCCTATGTAAGAAAACGTTCTGCTCTGTGAAATCCCAGAATCTCAGCATCTCTGTGTCAGCATCAAGGTGGCTTCGGGCTTTCCAATTTACATCGCAAGAAACATTACGGTTTCTCTTTTTTTAAAAAAGACAATGTCAGAGCCCAGCCAGTGTGGTTCAGTTGGTCTGTGCACCAAAAGGTGGCCGGTTCGATTCTGGCTGGGGCACGTGCCTGGGTTGTGGGCTCGATCCCTGTTGGAGTGTGTGCAGGAGGCAGCCTATTGATGTTTCTCTCTCACATTGATGTAGCTGGGATTTGAACCTTCTTTCCACCCCCTCAAGGAAAAATGAGACCAATGCTTGGCTCCAGGGGACCCCCAAGATTTGAGGAGATGAGCCCCAAGGAAGGCTTGCTCTCATCTCAGAAAACCTTCTACTTACTGATCCTCACCTTCTGTCTCTGAGAGAATGTGGTTAACTATGCGTTTAGTGGCCCAGTGGCAGCGAGAGAGGCACAGGCAATCCCCACAGCAGAGGGATATGCCTGCGTGGTGTTTATTAGTCTTCAGGAGAAATGCTATTTAATATACACATGGCAGATTTATGGAGTCAATTTAGCTTCTCCTTGAGCAAAATTCTCTAGAAGGAGGCAGAAACCGGAAATGCATCCCAGGAAAGTCTTCCTCCTGGAGACGGGGCACTATCTTCAGAGGCGAGGACAACTGGCCTGGCGTTAGGAGTGAGCCAGGAACCTTGATTTTGTCAGGTCCTATGACCAGTCACTCTCTGGGGATTCTCTGGAGGGTGAGGAGTGGCTATGGGCTCCTCCAAGCCCAGTGGACCATCAGGAAAGAACCAGGAGCCAGACCTGGGAGCCCTCTCAGCAGCCCAGCAGCACCAGTGAGTCCCGTGTGGCAGCAGAAGGGGGCAAAAGTCATGGTCTGGCGGCGCTCACTGAGGGTCACTAAGTGCAGAGGAAGTTGGGGAAGTATTGGTAACTAGGGTTGTAGCTCTTTAGGTTTCTCTTCAGGCAGTAGGTGAGCTTCCGGTCACAGGAGCAGAGCTTCATCTGGCAGGCGGGCCCCAGCTCTGCAAACAGGACGCCAAATGCGGAATGAGGAAGACGCCCTCTACGGACATCGACTCCCAGGCTCGCTTCAGTCAGGACTTGCTTCTAGACTGAGCAGTCCCCCCGTCTGCTTCCTGCTCTGATGGAGCACTCAGTCTGATGAGGGAGGCACCGCGTCTATCCCGGGGGATGCATCATCTGATGGAAAAGGCCCAGCTGTCTGGGGTGAGGTTTCAGCCTAGGGAGACACAACTCCTGCCCTCCGGGAGCCCCAGTCTCATCAAGGACACACATCCCCTCAGTCTGATGGTGGAGACAGCTCCTGCCCTGGAGGAACCCCAGTTCTCATAGCGACACCTTATCCAGACTTAGCTTTGAACTCAGAGGGACCTGAACTTGAATCCCAACTCTAGCTGTACGAACTGGCAAGCCTTTGTGTTTCAGTTTCCTCCTCTGTAAAATGGAGAGACTAAACCTACTCACAGGGTATTTTCAGGGAGCAAGTAAAGGGAAGTATGCAAACATTTGGCACCTACTGAATACTCAATCTAAGACATCAGATACAGCTGCAATATTCTTGCCCCTCTTATTCCCAGTTCTCTCCTCCTCCCCCAAGATATAGGCTGGCTGACCTCTAGGGGCAGCTGAACTCAGGGCCAGCAGAGACCCAGGCTCCTCCAGTGGCCTGAATGGGCAGCCCCAGCCTTACCACAGGTGACCAGGCCCCGTGAGACACTGTATTGGTAGGACTGTGTCCGGATGTGGCAGCCTTTCTCCTCCAGCAGCCCATAGCAGTGGTCATGTATCCAACAGCACCTGTCAATGCAACACACTTAGATCCTGAGTGGAAGGGGCATGCCATTTAAGCGGAGGCCACATCGGTGGGTGTGGTCTGGCAGAGAAAGAATCTAATAAGAATATGCCCTTCTTCTAGGGCCACCCGCCATTGGCTAGCAGCTCACTGACCTGTTTTTTCCTCCTAAGCTCATGGTGAGACTACATTTCCCAATCTCCCTTGCAGGTACAAGTAGTCACATGACTAGGTTCCAGCCAGAGGAATGTGAGCAGAAGTGATGTACACTGCTTTCAGACCTACCCATAAAAACCTCACATGTTATCTCCACTTTCTTTCTTTCTCCACCTCAGCTGAATGAAGGTGATCCAGCCTAGGATACTGAGGCCACTGGGGATAGCAGAGCCACAAGGTGGAAGGGACCTGGGTCCCAAAATCAACATGTTTGATTGAACTGTTATAAGATCAAAAAATAAACTTCCAGTATGCTAGGGGTAGCAGGTTTCATTACATTTTTTTACTTACAAAAAAGTTGAGAAATTGTACGCAGTGTTCCCATTTACCCCACATCCAGTTTCTTCTATCAGTAACACCTTATATTAATATGATACATGTGTTAGAAGTAACAAACCATTGTTAACTAATTACTAAATACTAATATGTAATTATTGATTCATTCATTGTAAAAAGTTCACAGCTTTTTCAGATCTCCTTAGTTTTTACGTAAGGTCCTTTTATGTTCCAGGATCCCCCGGGGGACCCCACATGACATTGAGTCGTCATGTCTCTGTAGGATCCTCTTGACCCAGGGCAGTTTCTCACTCTTTCCTTGTTTTCGATGACCTTGACAGTTTTGAGGAGTACTGGTCAAGTATTTGGCAGGATGCCCTACTATTGGGTTTCTCTGACATTTGTCTCATGCTATGTGTTTCTTGTTTTGCTCTAATTGTCCCAGCTTTGGCCATTGGGAGCTCTTTCGGTCGGTTCCTGTGCTCTTTGGCATTTCCATCAATGTGATGTCTGTTTGGGGCTTGTCTTGTTTTGTTTGAGCACTTCCTTACTTTCTGGTTTATAAGAAGCTCCAGGCTCATCCTGTATATTTCCTGCACTAGTCCTAGCATCAGCCATTTCTCTAAGGAGCCTTGGTTCCTGGGAGAGTGATATTAGAAACCAGATCTGGACACTAGGTGTTGCTTATTGCTACTGAGAGGTTGTTTCTTGTAGGTCCTCTCAGCTGATAGAATATATGTGTGTGTGTGTGTGTGTGTGTGTGTGTGTGTCTATATTAACCCCATGTATATACACATGTCTACATATTTCTATATGTAACCATCTGCATCTGTATTAAGCTAAACTAGAGTTCATATTGATGTCTCCAACTCTAATCCACCACCACATAGGTTATTCTAGCTTTCTGTCCTTGCTGATCTGCAAACTCCCCCTCCAGCAACGAGGAACTCAGCTCCAACCATCTGCCATCCATGCCCTGAATTGCCTCACCTCATCATACATGTCTAGCAGTCTCAGAATTGTTAACCCAGCAGGTGGCATTTTCCAAAGAACAATATCTCCCCTCCCCCCTGTTCTGGAACTTCTACACTTCCCAATCAAGATGTGAGAACTAGGTCCCCTCCCTCTTAAAGCCATTATGACTGCCTCAGCCGAAAAGAAGGACCAGCGTGAAATTCCCGAGGCTTGGTCATAAAAACGCTATACTCTTTTGTCTTGCAGTCCTGGGACACTCACTCTTAGAACCCAAGCATCACCGTGCTGTGAGGAAGTCCAAACAATCTTGGAGAGGCCTGGGTGGGAGGAACTGAGGCCCCCAGACCCAGCCCCAGCCCAGCACCATCTGAGCTCCCAGCCAGCAGCCAGCGAACCTTGCCAGCTATCGGAGTGCACCATCTGGATGATGCCTCATCCAGTCTCAGTCAAAGTGCCCAAGCTGAAGCTGGGTGGCACAGAGACAAGCCAGCCCACCAAGCCCTGCCCGAATGGTAGATTCTTAACAAAACAATGGTCATCGTCGCTTTAAGCCACTACATTTTAGGATGGTTGTTACGCAGCAATAGACCATCTGATACATTAGGCCACTGAGATTTGGAGAGTTACTAGACGTAGCGTGGGCAAGTCAGTTAACCTCTCTGACACTCAGTTTTCTTATCTATAAAATGGTGCTTCAATTCTAGAAGTGACATGGGATTAGAGGAGGTCATGTGGGTGCAGAGCCTGGAGCATGAAGGGCAGTCATGATAATCAGCTCACCAATCAGTAACATCCTTGGGGGTCCCTCGGCCGCCCCAGCCACAGTAACAGCCGTAGAAGCCATAGTTCATCAAGGCGTTCTTCCCTGTCACCTTCTCAATCATCGACTTCAGTTCTAGCAAGCCGCCTGACACAGCGGGCACACCTGAAAGACAGCCCCGGCTTTCCCAGCATGCTCCTGCCTTTCTCCCATCCTGGGGCTTAGAGGAGCCCAGGTGTCTCTTTCTCCTCCTCCCCATCAGTGGGAGAGGGACAAGGAAGGTGAGGGCAAGCAGCATAGACAAGTGGTTACATGGCTGGACTTGGGGAATGAGCAAGCCTGGATCCAAAACACAACCCTGCTGACTCACAGTATGATGCTGCACAGGCCACTTATCTCTCGGACCTCGTGTTCCTCGGTTTCCTAAAATGAATGCCTGCCTCTGGGAGTTGTCATGAGGGTTACACTAAGGTAAAGGATGTAAATTTCCAGCACTGTGGCAGATACATACTCAGGGGCCAAGAAACATTAGGTATAAGTAATACGGTATCATATGAAGCTGGCTAATGGGCTCTTCCTTTACCTCCTAACAATACACACCTTTCTCCTCCCACTAACACCATCCTATATAATAAAAGCCTAACATGCTAAGTGTCAGGTCGTCCGGTCGGCCATTCAATCAATCAAAATGTAATATGCTAATGATATGCTAAGGCCATGCAACCACTCGCTATGACGTGCACTGACCACCAAGGGGCAGACACTTCGACCTGTAGGTTAGCTTGCTGCTGGGGTCTGGCCAATCGGGACTGAGCGAGACGAGCCGGACACGCCCTGGAGCCCTCCCGCAGTCCCTCCCCTGCTGGCCAACTTCCCATGTCCTTCCCCAGCCCTGATCGTGCACTAGTGGGGTCCCTCGGCCTGGCCTGCGCCCTCTCACAATCTGGGCTGAGGGGACACCCCCCCCCCCCAGTGCATGAATTTTGTGCACCGGGCCTCTAGTTTAGAACATAAGAATCTTCAAGCAGGGTGGGCCCCTTGGAGCTCTCCGAAGCCAGCTCCCTCATCGTGCAGATTGGGAAACTGAGGCCTAGAGGGAAAAGGTGGCTTGTGCAGGGGTACACAGTGAGCCAGAGGCTCGAGGCCTCTCGCTCCTCCTGCAGTCTCCAGGGATTCAGAGACATCAAAAAGCAGGCAGCCTGTCCGGGGCTGAGGAGAAGCTCAAGACAGACCCCTGACTCCATGCTATGCAGTTACTTCCAGCTGGGAGGTGGCAGCAGGTGGGCTGCACACAAAACCTGGACAGGCCTGAGCAGAGTATGGCCAGGAATCCTGGGGTGGGAGGTGCTTGTTTTTTACTTGGTTGTGTTTTATCCCCCGATTTATTTTATTTTGTTTTGCATCAAACAAGCAAACAAAAAAATCTGCCTCCTGCATTTACAAACCACGTAGTCTCCCTAGAGCACAACCCTAACTCATTACCTGCTAGATCAGCGGTTCTCAACCTGTGGGTCGCGACTCCTTTGGCGGTCGAACGACCCTTTCACAGGGGTCGCCTAAGACCATCCTGCATATCAGATATTTACATTATGATTCATAACAGTAGCAATATTACAGTTATGAAGTAGCAATGAAAATAATTTTATGGTTGGGTCACAACATGAAGAACTGTATTTAAAGGGCCAGAAGGTTGAGAACCACTGTGCTAGATCCTGCCACAGACCTGCTATCATGAATGAGAAAACAAAGGCTTCTGCTGATGTCTACACAAGTACATGCAGAGCCCAGATGCACAGTTAACTCTCTACAGCCTCAGGGTCTCCTTGCCACTACCCTGTTGTTCCTAGAGGTTAGAGGGTCACCAGTTCAAAGGTCAGGGGGCCAGCACTTACTACAAGCCAGGAACCAAGCCAGTGTGAGGATCCCCTTCATCTCTGAAGTTCTAGAAAAGAAAACACATCCCATGACATACTTACCAGGAGATGTCCCCACAGCCCATCCAAACCCTGCCCCAGGCTTCCCACCAAGCCCTACCTGCTCGCGCTGGTCAATACACGGGCAACCCAGTGAGAGAAGATGAGGCAAACACCTCAAGGAGTTGATCTAAGGAGTCCTTGGGGGCAGAGGGGCATATTGTCCCCAACAGAGACAGGAGAGAACTGTGCTACCACAAAGGCACCTGACCACAAATGCCCCCACTCAATTGCCCCTTCTTCAGAAAATGGCTAAAAGTAACCAGAGGAAGAGGTGGGATTCTTTAATGGGTGGAGATTTGTTGGCACAAGTCAGGGGCAGGAATTGGCACACCCAGACAGGGCCCTGGGTGGAGGATGTCAGGATCTGGCAGGGAGAAAAGCAGCCCCTAACAAGGGAGAGACTGGTGCAGGGCCGGGAGGGCACAGGGACACTGATGGCTTTAGGTCCTGGCGTCCTTTCATCTGGTGGTGCTGAGGGCCTGTTCAAGGACGTCTTCTGTGCTGGTGATTTGAGGACAGAAGCTGGGAGGGCTCACCCCTCTCCCAGCACTGCGGACAGTGCCCAGCCCGAAGCAGGGGCTCAGGAATGAAGCAAGAGCACCCCTTATGTGACGTGGCTCTCAGGCAAACTCGGGGCTTTTGTGGGTCCCAAGCCCTTTTGTCTTCATAGTCCCTCCCCCCCCCCCCCCCAAAAAAAGTCCTTTTTTAAAATTGTATTTTACAACCGAGTTGCTATAAAAATAAATACAATCCATGCTGGATTCATTATTATTATTATTCATTTATTTTTCTTCAATATCAAAAGAATTTAACATTGAAACATTGCCTTGGCCCCAGGCACTGGGCCTACATAAATTGACGCTGGGGGCTCAAGAGAGCTTCGAAGGTAGGTATCATTTGTTGGCCTTTTGCAACGGAGAAGACAGGCTCCGAGAGCTCAAGCACTGCCAGAAGTCACACAGCCATTAGAAGTGGAGGGGCCTAGTGTGCCCCTCGATGTGCTGCACAACCTTCCTCCCCAGAGGGGAGGGCCTCTCCTTTGAGCCCATGGAGCCCAGAGGCCCCAGCTTTCCCTCCCCCCCAGACCCAGGGAGTCCTGGCCTAGAGTCCAAAGAGATCACACGCAGAGGGCAGAGGAAATTCCATGTGTCTTGAGCCAATGTCTGATTTCTAAACTGGGCCTCTGGCAGAAGGTCCTTGGCCAACGGCTGCCTGCTTTCCTTCCCTGTCTGGATCCCAACCTCTTGTTCATCTGCAGCTGCCCAGCTGGCCAGTAGTCTGCCACAGTTTCCCCTTCGGTGCCCTCCTGTCCCTGAGTTCAGTGGTCTTCTCGGCCAGTGCTGTGCCCCAAGCCCTGTCCCCTCCCAAGGCCTGGCTCCAAACACACCACCTCCAACTCCCAGGGCTCCTGGCTCCTGGGATGCCCGCTCCCTGCCATCCTTTGTCCAGCAGCTCCTCTGAGTTCCAAGAACGTGTCCGAGGGTTCTGTCCACCCATTGCCGCTGCCTTGAGGGCTCTAAATAGCCAAGGCCATGGTTCTAGACCCTATCCATCCACAGCCATCTTTCTCCGCTGCTTCCTGGAGCTGTGACCGGAGGAAGAGGGCAACTACCATGTACTGGGCACCTACAATGTGCCAGGCACTGTCTCAACCCGCCAATGGCCCTGGCAGGTGACAACTGTTAGACCTGCTGGCATGGTGTCTGTCCCTTCAACAGCCATTTGTTGAAGGAGAGAATGCCAGTTGTTGGTTTTTACAGACCAGGAAACCCAGGCTCAGAAAGGGGAAGTGAGTTGCCCAAGGATTCAGCTCAGGAATAGGATGCAACTCCTCTACTCACTGGACCCCCTGCCTCTGAGCAGCCCCTGTGTGGGAGCCACGCTGTTCCCTTTCTACACTTTGTGATGTTTTCACATCTTGGGGGCCTTTCTGGGCTGGGAAGAGACAGCCCCTCCCGGGACTAGCTAATTCCTCGAGATAGTCAGAGGCTGCTCAGTGAGCACACCTTTCACTCATACGAAAAGCAGCCAATCCTAAACCTCCTTGCCCAACCACCTTTATTTAACACTCACGCTCCCAGCCAATATTTCCTCTGCCCTAAATCACCTGAGGGCCAGGAAGGACTGTTAAGAGTCCCTTGAAATTATTCAAGATAGTCAACCCTAAATTGTCCTTTCTTGTAAAAAACACAATAGACTCTGGACCATGCTTTCGCTCATCTTGCCTCCTGGTCGACCCGGTGCTGCCCGAGCGGCCCTGCATGCTGTGGCGTGTTCCCTTCTCTTGGGAACTGTGAGTAACAAGCTATCTTTTAAATGGTGCGTCTCCTGATCTAAATGGTGTGTCTCCCAGCACATGTTAGAGCACCTTTGACCCGGGCTGTGGGTGTGAGCGCGAGGCCCCAGGCAAAGGGCCCTGAAAGAGAACAAGCTGCACAGAGAAGGTGCTGGGCTGCATATCTGGCGCTCCGGCCAGACGGGGCACGCTGTCCTAGAACACATAGATAGGAAGGTACTGACGCCAGGCCTTGAGATAGGGTCGCATGGCCCCTTCCCAGCATGCAGGCCTTCTTTCTCAGAAGGCCCGGAAGTCTCATTCCAAATTTGGGAGACAACGGACTGGAAAAAGTATAAATAAAGAGAGTTTCCTCCATATTGGGGGCCCAGAATTTGAAAGACACATTTTTCTCGGGGCCTCCACAGAATTTAATAATAAAATGTAACTCTTACAGTCTGCACTGCAGTTCAGCCTCTGCTTCGGCAGGGTGCTGTAACTGTAGTCGCTGGCCAGCTCAACAAATCCTCGCTTGCTGCTTAAGACCTCATTGGAGCCGGTGGTCTTATTCTCGCGAATGTTGGTCCACAACAAGAAGGTGGCCAAGGCACTGAAGCAGCCGCCTGGGATGGGGAAGGGCGGGGAAGATGGCCCTCAAGGAAGCCCAAAGCAGGCCCCAGGAGGAGGATGTGGGGTTGGCTATTTTTATCAAGTAACCACAGCAGGGAATGAGTGAGCCAGGAGGTAATGTTGGAGTGGAGCAGCGGCCGCGGTAATGAGAGGTGGAGAGAGTGGAGACAGGCAGCCTGACGGAGCATGGCAACGTGGGGGCTGGGGCGTGGCTGGGTCACTGCACAGGCAGGCCCTCCAGGTCCACAGGCAGCAGCCCCCCTACCCCCCCTCCAGCTCCCAGGACCCCGTCCATCGTGTCTTTCCCAGGAAAGGACGACAGCACCAGCCCCCCTGTCGGGAAGGATACCTGAGACCTCCTTACAGTCCGTGGGGAAGCAGTGGAGGGCCAGACTCCCCTCTCACAGCCCTCTCCGTGCCCGACCCCTCCACCCGCAGGTAAGGCACCCCCAGAATGAGATTCCTCACCGGTGAGACCTTCTCTCTGTCCTCTTGTCAGGCCTGGAGGAGAGGCAAGGGTTGGGCCCGCCTGGTTTTAAGGGCCTCCCCGCCTGCCTCCCACCCCTGCCAGCTCCAGGAGGAAGCCTTACGTCTCCCCTAAGACCCCTGGGGATTTTTCCTCCCTGTGCTCAGAAACAGCTATTTCCTGAAGCACAATACGGGGCCTGGGTGGCTTCAGGAGGGATATTGAGTTCCGTCTCACTGGGGCCACCCACGGTCCAGGGTCCTTCTCCATCAAGGCCCGGGGATCTGGAATCCCCCTCTGGGCCTGCACCGCGCCCCCCCCCCCCCCGCCCCTAGGCCACGCCAGGTCTCTGTCAAAGCCTCCAGCCCACGCTCCTGCTCAAATTTCATTCGGTCTCTCTGGGCCTCCTCCCAGGGACAGCCAGGACAGCGGATGGCACCCCCTCTGACTGCCCCGTTCTCTGCCTGTTGCTCCCCATCTGCCAACCCCAACTCTCTGTCCTGCTCGGGAACCTGTGAAAGCCCCGCTCTGGAGTCGCAGTAAAATGTTGCCAAGCACGGCTGGCACCTCTTTTTTGCACCTGACTCTCTACCAATTTGCCACATTTCTTCCCTCTGAGAAGGAGAAACCACCGCCTTGCGGTGAGAGAAATGCCAGCTGGAGTCCCCCACTCAGCAGCGGTGTGACCCGGGAAAGTCGCCCCACTTGTCTGTTCCTGGGACTCTGACAATAATGACCATATTCACCCCACTGCCCCAGCCTGAGGGGCTCAGGGAGAGGAACGCCCTCTTCTCCGGAGAAGTAAGGCCAAGTGGGGAGGGGTGTGGCTCAAGGGTTCACACCACAGGCTCTCCTGGGTGCACCTCGCAGCTCCGAGTCCTGGGTTCAAATCCCGGCTTCTCCACTCAGCTATTTCACCTCAGGGCTGATGGTCATTCTCTTGCCTCCGAGAGTGATTGGGATTAAATGACTTAATGCATTTGTAACAGAGAAGTGGCCAAAATGTTAACAAATACACAGCCTCCTAGAGTGTGCTCACAAGGACATGGGTAGCTGTCATTACTCTCCATCCTCCACTTCTGTTGATCCCTGCTCCCCATCCTGACCCCCACACACACACACTGAGAAGACGCGGGTGTGCCCGCCCTCCTGTCCCCAAAGCCCCTCCTTTGGGCCCGCATGGACCCGTCTCTTCCAGGGACCTACCCCCCGCCAGGAACCCTGTGAATTCAATTTAACACAAAAGTACCCGCTGGGAGTCTGCTGTGTGCCAGGCACTGCCGGGGGACCCACTGTGAACAGGGCTGCCTTTCTGGTTGGGGGACATGGAGAGAGCGTACAGGCATCAACCACGTAAATAAATACACAGCATGTCCCTGAGCAGTAGCGGCCGTGGGGAAACTCCGCCTTCGGTGTGTTTATTTCTCTTTCCCTCCAGTCCCCTCCTCTGCTGCAGGCACACAGGAGCTCCCACCCCAACCCAGACGAAAGCAGCCAAGAAAGGGAAACACCCCTTACCTCTGCTGACCTCTCTCCAGTTTCTGTTTCCTGCAAAAGCCCAGTGTCTGGACACAGAAGCCTCCACTTACTCATCGCCCGCTCCCTTTGAACCCTGTGCTGCCTGGCTCTGGCTGCGTCCCCCAGCGGCTCTCAGGGATCCCCCAAAGCCTGGGGTTGCCCAAGCCTGGACTTCACCCCCTCAGTCTCTCGGGCACTCCATCCCGCTGACCATCTCCTCCTCTCAAAACTCTCCCTCTGGCTTCTGAGGGGCCGCCCTGTCATCTGTGTTCCTGCTACTCAGCTCCCGTCTCTGTCGGCCCCCAAATGCTGGTGTTTTCAAGGAAGTTTGCACCCCCCCTCCATTCTTCTCTCCTGGGGTGAGCGCATATGAGGTCAGGGATTTGGGTCTTATTTCCCTGCAGATTCCAGGAGCCTAAGTTGGCTGAGCAGCGTCTGGCACTAGTTCTGACTCAACAATAACACCGGTGAACAAGTGATTGAATGTATGAATGGAGAGAGAGCACAGTGTTGGGTCAAAGAGCCTGAGCTTCAAGTCAGACAGAAGTGGATTCAGACCTGGGTGTCACCTCTGACTGCCTGTGCCACCCGACCTCCTCAGGTCTCAGCTTAAATCCTCTGGAAGGCAGGACAATGATGAAACCTGCTTCATTTTGTAATTTTGAAAATTCAATGAGATGAGGCCAGCTGAGGGTCTAATATTTACAACTGTGTATTGTGGAGTTTATTGAAACATGATTTTCCCCCATAAATCATTAACGAGCCAAATTAAGGCCAATTTATTTACTGTATTAAGTCCAGTTTCAATTTGGCTTGATTATTTTCATGACTACAACAATACAACAAGAATAGTAATTGATTATATAGGTTCTTTTAAATTTGCTTTGCTGGAATTTCCAGATTGAGCTTTAATTTGCCCCTCAGCAGAGAAGCCAAGCCATTGGGCCTTGCCTGAAATACCTGTAAGTTTGGGTGGATTCCTCGAGTTCCTGGGGTCTCCAAAATGTCTGGAGGTTCTTTCCTTGCCATTTTTCAGGAAAGCAACCTTCATTCCTTAACAGGAAAGACTGCCATGAACCACTGACCAAGCAAGGTAAAAGGCCATTTCTCCAATCAGTTTTATTAGCTTTAAAGTCAATCTTCATTTCTTAAGGCTTTCTGATGACATTCAGAGTCCAGGCATGTCTCTCTCAGACATGACACTCCAGTCAAAGTCTTGGTTAATAAACCAGAATTGGAAACTGGTCTTATTGAATTCATGCAAAGAAACATATTGCCATAAAAATAATAACATTCACTCATTAAGAATTGCTAAATTCTGGGGGGATTATGTAGGGAGAAAAATATAAATGTTACAATATTGTTTATGAAGGCATAATTTACCAAATTGCTCTAGGAAAAAAAAGTTTCCTTATATCTTGAAAAAAAAAAGATCTTAAAATCAGCAGTATCTTGAACAAAGTTTTAAGAATGCTCATTATTTTCAGTTCATTTAGCTCCATATTATCAATTTTTGCTTATCCTGATTATTCACCAGTATTTTCATGAATTCAGTTGTTTCTTAGAGTTTTAGAAATCTTTATCTAGTTTTAAGTTATTATTTGCTTAGAAATCTGTAATTTAGAGTAAGTCAGAGTTCTTTTTATGAACCTTTTCAAAGACATAACTAACATATTTGCAAATGCATTAGAGTAAAACAATGACTGTCTGGAAGTGACAAACTTGAAATGACATGGTTATATGCCGGAAGCCAATTCCAGCGTGTCAGCAGGGCTGAATCATCTGGAGATGGCTGAGGGCATTTCCCCAAACCTGAAAAGGATGCATAAATGATTGCTTGCTGCCAGACAGCTGAGGGCATTTCAGTCTACATGTTATTGCCTCCTACTGGCCAAACACATGAACAGCCAAGGCATTTCCTCCAATCTGACAATGGATTCTGTATACTAAACTCTGGCCTTTGATGTGTATATCTACCTTGCCTTAGAACAAATTATGTTAATAAAAAGCAAGGGGTCCTGAGACAAGGAGAACTTAGTTCCTTTAGCTAAGTCTTCTCTGGCTCCCCAAAATGCCTTCCAAAATTATGTTTCGTCTCTGGACTCTTGATTAATTTACACACAGCGCCTTCTTCAGATTCCTGAACCCTTCTAGATGCTGGATCAAGACCCCTGGCAGTTATAGATTTGATTATAATGTAATTGATGAAAAAAACTTTGCTTTTTTGGTAAGATATTAACTTCCCAAGATAATAATTTCTTGATAAATAATAATTATTATGAAATGACACAAAAGAACAATGCAAAACCCATATTTTTAGATTTAACATATAACTTCAATATATAAAGAACAAATAATATGCAAGATGTTAAAAGTTGTACATGGCTTATTGGAAGTGTGCATTGAGCACTGAAAACAATTCATACATTTTCAATGTGTGGGTCACAAACACCTGGATTTTAACTGTCAGATGACTGGTGTCACTGACAGGATACCTGCTACCCCTGAGAGTTTTCTGTTTGAATTTGGCTTTGAATTTTGCAAGTTCCTTCCTAGGGCAGGCTGAACATTTAGAACATCCATTTTAATAAACATATATGTATTTAAATAGAATATATTTATTAATATTATTCTACCTGGCAAAATTTCCCATATAATTTCAAGCATATTAAATAGGCCTATGTAGCTCAAAAAACTTCTTTTATATGGAGAGAAAACAGATCTTTGAGGTATTCCAGGGGCCCATTGGAATAACTCAAACTCATTTCTTGGATAAAAAAAGCATTTTAAAATTCAAACTTTGGGAAGGTTGTCAAACAAACTTAACCAAGAGGTCATAATATAAATTTTTTGTAAACCTGGGTAAAACTAACACATATTTTAGGTAAAACTAACCGGGTAATAACTTTAAAATTGTTAATCAAACTTAAACTGGTTTTAATATTAAATATTTTGTCCAGACCACAGAATCTTGCTTAATTTATATAAATACTTAATTTCTTTAGGCCAATAAATATTTCATCATAGCACACCACATATAATACACAGATGAACACATATCACATAAACACCATACACATAACTTGAATTAGTAATTTTATAGACAAGTCATAAGATTTTTTTCATTTGTGTTTGATGACTTTTAAGAAGCCTAGATAAGGGGGGAACTTTAAATCTTTTTACCCATTCAGAAATAACCAGCTTTAGAACAACTCAATTTCAATTCTTGTCTTCAAAAATGCATTTTTCTATTTTATATCTTCTATTACCAACCATACAGGGGGTTTTAAACTTAATTTTAACTCAACTTTTAGAAAATTTAATTTATTTAGTAACAACTAAAAGTAAGTGACTAGCATTGTTTAGGTTGGCAAATACATTTTATGATTTCTAGAAATAAAGGCTCTTTTACTGGCAAACACATTCATCCCTTTGAGAGACATACCTAGCAAAGTATAACACATGTATTAACAGTTCCAAGTCTATTTTCTACCTTTATTTTTTTTGTAAAAAAAGGACAAAAGTAGGTGAACTTAAGACTTGTCTAGCAATTAATATTTATTAGCTGAAATAAGTTAACTTGATCTGCTCAGATGGCTATGGTTTCTTTTTTTCTTTCAATAAGGATTACCTTTTAGAAACTTGTATTTTAAAAGATGGTCCAGATAAGAGTTTGTGGGCTTTGAATTGTTTCTGGACTCATACCTCTGGCCCTGTAAAGACTTTATTTGTAAAACAAGGACTGTGATTTTTAATATCTCAAGAGGGGTTGTCACCCAAATGTTGACAAACAATTGACAAATCCATTCACCCATTTTTGGAATATTTCTTTTTCCATTTGGGTATATTTTTCTTTCAGACTCAGTAGCAATTATAGAGAGATATAGTTTACAGCCAGTACATAGTTTAGGATCATGTCTGAGAGCCATAAAGACTTGTGTATATGGGACTGCTGTCCATTTCCCTGGAACCAGCAAAACTGGTCTAGCTGCAATTCTTACAAAGGACTAGGTTGTTCCCTCAGGCCATAAAGGCTTGGTATGGGAATTCAGTCCATTTGCCCTGACCACAGCAGAAAAGATCTAACTGGAGAATCTCTCTATATAAAAACGGTTGGACCAGTAGCTGTGACACTCACTGACCACCAGGGGGCAGACACTCAATGCTCAGGCATGGAAACATGGAACAGATTAATGAATCTCAGAGGAAAGGGGGATGGGGGAGGGTGGGAAGAAATTAACCAAAGATCTTATATGCATCCTAGAGGCCCGGTGCACGGATTCGTGCACCAGTGGGGTCCCTCAGCCTGGCCTGCAGGGATTGGACTGAAACCCATAGTCCGATATCCCCCAAGGGGTCTCAGATTTCAAGAGGATGCAGGCCAGGCCGAGGGACTCCACTGGTGCACGAATCTGTGCATCAGGCCTCTAGTGTGTTATAATTAAGGCTCTCATTCTTCAGCCAGGCTTCTGGCTCCCTACTTTGTATGGGACATGCTGTATTGTCAAAGACTAATCTTGCAGTAGCCGGTTTGGC